TGTGCCACACTCATCTTTGTTGGAGTGCATCAAGCCTCGCCAGTTAGATGAGCCTCACTTGTTGGTATTGAAGGATACGGTGCTGCGAGGTGGTGCTAAGAAGGATGTGATTGGGGATGATGGTGTTATGTGACTTCAGGACCAAATTTATGTTTCGAATGTTGATGGGTTGAGAGAGATGATCCTTAAGGAGGCTCATGGATCACGGTATTCTATTCACCCAGGTGTCACGAAGATGTATCATGACTTGAAGTAGCATTATTGGCGGAAAAAGATGAAGAAAGATATTATTGGACGTGTCTCTCAGTGTTTGAATTGTCAATAGGTGAAGTATGAACATTAGAAACCCGGTGGTTTGACTTAGAAGTTGGTGATACCGGAGTGGAAGTGAGAGCGCATCACAATGTACTTTATGGTAGGCTTACCACGGACCTTGAGGAAGTATGATTATGTTTGGGTAATTATGAACCAGTTGACCAAGTCTGCACATTTCATTCCAGTGATGACTTCCTACTCTGCAGAGCAGTTGGCTCAGATTTACATCACAGAGATTATTCACCTGCACGGTGTGCCTATTTCTATCATTTCAGATTGTGTCACGTAGTTTATTTCACACTTTTGGAGAGTTGTGCAGCATGAGTTGGGCATGCAGGTTGAGTTAAGTACTACGTTTCATTCTCAGATAGACGGGCAGCTTGAGCGGACCATTCAGATCTTGGAGGATATGTTGAGGGCATGCACTGCTAATTTTGGAGGTTCAGTGGGACCAACTTCTACCTCTAGCGGAGTTCGCCTACAACAACTATCAGTTGAGTATCTAGATGGCTCCGTATAAGGCCTTATGTGGGAGACGATGTCATTTTATCGTTGGTTGGTTTGAGCCCGGTGAGGCTAGATTGTTGGGCACAGATTAAATTCATGATGCTTTTGGATAAGGTGAAATTGATTCAGGAGTGACTTCGTACAATACAGTCTAAGAAAAAGAGTTATGCTAATTGAAAGATTTGTAATGTGGCTTACATGGAGGATGAGAAGGTTCTTCTCTGAGTTTTGCCTATGAATGGCGTGATGCGATCTAGGAAGAAAGGTAAGTTACCACGAGGTTTATTGGCCCATTTGTGTGACGCCCCGATAGGTCGTTTTGAGTACTAGTCCTTTTTGCGTTCCAAGACCTCCCGTAGCTTTGTTTGATGTTTCTTGGTTTGTGTGCATGGTTTGTGTCACTTTTCGAAAAGCTTTTATATTAAATTTTATAAAAATGGAAATTTTGACTAAAAATATGGCTAGAGTTGACTACGGTCAACATCCTTAGTAAACAACCCCGGATCAGTATTCTAATGACCCCGGTGGATCCATATCGTAATTTTGAATTTAGGTGTATATCCGAAATTGAATTTGGAGGTCCCTAGGTTGATTTGACTTATTTTGCCGAAAGTTAACAATTTGAATATTTGAAAATTTCCTAGGTTTGACCGTAGGTTGACTTTATGGCTATCGGGTTCGAATTTTGGTTCTGAAATTTGGTATATGTCTGTTTTGCTATTTGAAACTTGTCTGTAAAATTTGGTGCAAATCGGAGTTGGTTTGATATGATTCGGATGCTTAGTTGTGATTCTAGTTGTTCTTGCGTTTCCCTTTGAAAAGTCATTCAATTTGATGTCCTATTTGTAGTTTTAGAAGTTATTCTGGTGATTTGATTGCGCGAGCAAGTTCCTATGATGTTATTACACTTGTATGCATGTTTATTTTGGAGCCTGAGGGGCTCGGGTAGTTTCAAACGCATTTCGGATAAGTTTGGAAAGTTTGAGAACTTCTAATGTAGTGTTAAATCAGGTTGCGAACAAGAATCCGCATTTGTGAGCAAGGCCTCAAATTGGATAACCTCGCATTTGCGAGGAAATGGTTCGCATTTGCAAACAGGCTAGGGCCACTTTTGCTAGCACTTTGGTCACATTTGCGATGCCTGACAAAATGGGGCATCTTCGCATTTGCGAAGAATCTGGCCGCATTTGCGAAGATTAGGTTTTCTCATTTGCTATTTATATGTCGCATTTGCGACATCTGGGCTTCTGATACTAGGTTCGCATTTGCGACCTTGTCTTGTAATTTTAGGCATTGCATTTGCGAACATTTGTTCGCAAATGTGACACCTGCAGCTGGGTAAAAGATGGGGAAAATGGGACTTAGCTCATTTTACATCATTTCTCAACCCTAAACACTCTAGATGCGATTTTTCAAGAGATTGTTCTTCCCAAAATCATTGGTAAGCAACTTTAATCTATTTATTTTCAATTACCCATTACTTTTCATGTGTTTTGAACCTCAAATCTAGGATTTTCATGGTAGAAATTGGTTATTTTATAAAATTGAGATTTAGACCTCAAATTGAGGTCGGATTTCGAAACAAATCATATAACCGGGCTCAGGGATGAATGGGTAATTGGGTTTTGGCTGAATCTCGTGTTTTGACTAAGCGGGCCCAACATTGACTTTTGTTGATTTTTTCAAAAATGATCAAAATTGAATGTTTTTCATTAATGGGTAGTTTCTAAAGCTTATTTTAAACCGTTTGATTGATAATTTGTTAGATTTGGTTTGGTTTGGAGGCTTGTTCAAAAGGCAGAGCCGTTTTTGATTGATTTCTTTGATTTACGGAGTGAGGTAAGTAGGAGTGGGTGTATCTATTTTTTGAGCTCTAACTAATACCTCACTCAAATTAAAAAGTTGGATTTTTCGTTCCAAGAAAAGTTATCGCCTTTTCTTTGTCACCGGCGAAGACATCCGTTAATTCCGTCGATGGCTTGCTAGTAAGATTTCTTTTTCAATGTTCTGTTAATTCCGTCGACGGCTTGCTATTATTCAAGACTGCTAGTGATATTTCTCTGTTCACTGCTATTATTCAAGACTGCTTACCCAAGGGTTACGACGAAGAGACTGTCTTCGCCGTCGCCGATAAATCCATTATCAACGGTAGGTTCCCGGAGCTTTTTTCCTTTCGATTGCACAACACTTCCACCGCAGCCTGTGAACGAGACCCAAACAATTGAGTCATCTATTTTCTTGTTCTTTAAAAGTTATTGGACTAAAAATAGAAATTATTGTCCAAAGAGGGAAAGGAATACAGAAGACTATTTACTTTTTGAGACACAATTATTGTTCAAGACTTTTCTTGCCCAAGGGTTACGACGAAGAAACCTATCTTCGCCGTCTCCGGTAATTCCATTAGCAATAGGAGGGAGAGACAATTTTATCCAGGCCTACAGCAGCATTCAGCGGATTGGGAAGCACACACGGACATCTCCGACTATAATCCAGGTTCCATCTTTCTTGAATTGTATTTACTGTTGCCTTGCCGATAATATTTGGTTTGTGTATACATCTGTTAGTTTTGGTTGCCTTGCCGTTAACCCATAGTTGGATTGACTGATTTCGGTAGACTATATTTGCTTGATTTTCTGTCTTTGCAACTAGTGTTTTTAAGCTTAAGGTTCTGCATTATCCCTTTTAATTGCGTTACTATTCTCGTAGTAGCGCCTTTGAGTTTTTTAGCTCTCGGATTCCTAGCTTGTATTCCTTTGTTCTCGCTATTTGTTTTTTAGTGGTAATGATTACATAATACCTCTTGATTATAGTGGCTGTAGTAAATAATGTGAGAGTAAGGTCATGTCCTCAGGTTGGGCTAGGGGTAGGGACCAGGGGTGAGAAGGGGGATAATGGAGCCTCTAGGCTGAGAGTTGAGTCCTGGAACATCAGGACGTTGACGGGGAAGTCTATAGAGTTAGGTAAGATTATTCATAAGAGGAAGATCAATATAGCGTGTGTCTATGAGACTAGATGAAAGGGTACTAGGGAACGGGATGTAGGCGGGTTTAAACTATGGTACTTAGGAAGCGCTGGGGGTAAGAATGGGGTAGGTACTTTAGTTGACAGGGGCCTCAAGGAGCTCGTGGTTGAGGTTAGGCGGGTAAACGATAAATTGATGAGTATTAAGCTTGTAGTTGGAGGGTTTACTGTAAACATGATTAATGCATACGCTCCTCAGGTAGGTTTGGACCAGGAGGTCAAGAAGCAATTCTGGGAAGATTTGGACGAGGTGGTGCGTAGTATCCCGCACACCGAGAAGTTGTTCATTTGCAGAGATTTCAATGGCCATGTTGGGGCTAGTTCTAGGGGTTATGATGATGTGCATGGCGGGTTCAGTTTTGGGGATAGGAACAAGGGAGGTACTTCACTGTTGGAATTTGCTAGAGCTTTTGATTTGGCTATAGCCAACTTGAGTTTTCCGAAGAGGGAGGAGCACCTGGTCACATTCCGGAATTCAATGCCCAAGACTCAGATTAATTACCTTCTCTGCAGGAAATGTGATAAAGGTATATGTTCTGATTACAAGGTCATCCCTAGTGAGCACCTCATGACCCAGCATAGGCTCCTAGTAATGGATCTGGAGATCAAGAGGAGTAGGAGGAAAATAGTGGTGTGCAGGAAACCTAAGATCAAGTGGGGTAACTTGACCAAGGACAAAGCTCAGGAGTTAGGGGAGAAGTTGATGGCTATGAGGGCTTGGAGGAGTAGGGGGGACGCGACTAGTATGTGGATCACGACTGCGAGCTGCATTAGGGAAGCTGCTAGAGAGGTCTTAGGGGTCACGAAGGGCTTTTTGGGGGGTCATAAAGGGGACTGGTGGTGGAAGGGAGAGGTCCAAGGTAAAGTGGAAGCTAAGAAAGTTTCTTATTTGAAGCTAGTGGAGAGTATAGACGAGGAGGAAAGAATTACTTATCGGGAGTGTTACAAAAAGGCAAAGAAAGAGGAGTTAGCAGTTACGGCAACAAAAAATTCGCATTTGGTCATTTGTACGAGGATCTCGGGGGCAAAAGCAGGGATAAGAAGTTGTACCGGTTGGACAAGGTAAGGTAGAGGAAGTCGCGTGACTTAGACCAAGACAAGTGCATCAAGGACGAGGATGGCAAAGTATTTATGGACGAGGCACTTATTAGAAGAAGATGCAGACATACTTCCATAAACTGTTGAACGAGGAGGGAGATGGAAACATTGTGCTAGGTGAGTTGGAGCACTCCGAGAGTCAGCGGAATTTTGTATTTTATAGGCGTATTAAGGTAGATGAGGTAGAAGGGGAGATGCGTAAGATGTGCAGGGGCAGAGCAACGGGCCCAGACGAAATCCCAGTGGAATTCTGAAAGAGCGCGGGGCAGCAGGCTTGGAGTGTCTCACTGGGTTATTTAATGTTATTTTCAGGCCGAAGAAGATGCCCGATTAATGGAGGTGGAGTACGATGGTTCCGTTGTACAAAAACAAGGGTGATATCTAAAATTGCAACAACTATAGGAGTATAAGGCTGTTGAGTCATATTATGAAGGTTTGGGAGAGGGTGGTGGAGGCCAGCATGAGGAGGTGCGAATCTATTTCCGAGAACCAATTCGGATTCATGCCGGGGCGTTCGACCACGGAAGTGATTCATCTGGTGAGGAGATTAGTGGAGAAGTATAGGGGAAGGAAGAAGGACTTGCATATGATGTTTATTGACCTTGAGAAAGCATACAATAAAGTCACGAGGGAGGTTCTGTGGAGGTATTTGGAGGCTAGCGGCGTTCCGGTAGAGCACACTAGGGTGATTAAGGATATGTATGATGATGCTAAGACTCGGGTGAGGACTGTGGGAGGTGACTCGGAGCTTTTTCCTGTTGTGATGTCGTTGCATCAGGGATCGGCTCTTAGCCCATTTGTATTTGCCTTGGCAATGAATGTGCTATCGCGATATATCCAAGTGGAGGTGCCTTGGTGCATGCTATTTACCGATGATATAGTGTTGAAAGAAGAGACATGAGGTGGAGTTAACGTGAGGCTGTAGGTTTGGAGACAGACCTTGGAGTCCAAAGGTTTCAAGTTGAGCAGAACCAAAACAGAATACTTGGAATGCAAATTCAGTGACGGAACCCATGAAACAGACGTAGATGTAAAGCTTGATGCTCAAGTTATCCCCAAGAGAACAAGTTTCAAGTATCTCGGCTCTATTATCCAAGGTAATGGGGAGATTGACGAAGATGTCAGACATCGCATCGGAGCATGATGGATGATATGGAGGCTCGCTTATGGTATTTTATGTGATAAGAATGTGCCGCCAAGACTTAAGGGTAAGTTTTATAGAGTAGTGGTTCGATCGACTATGTTCTATGGGATTGAGTATTGGCTAGCAGAAATGAGAATGTTGAGATGGATGTGTGGGTGTATCAGGAGAGATAAGATTAGGAATGAAGCTATCCGAGACAAAGTGAGAGTAGCCTCCGAGGAGGACAAGATGCGGGAATCGAGGCTGAGATGGTTCAGACATATTAAAATGAGAAGAATTGAAGCTCTCATTATGAGGTATGAGAGGTTGGCCATGTTTGAGAAGAGGTCTAGGTAGGCCTAAGAAGTGTTGGGGAGAGGTGATTAGGCAGGGCATGACGCTGCTTCAGCTCACTGAGGGCATGACGCTGCTTCAGCTCACTGAGGGCATGACCCTTGATAGGAGGGTGTGGAGGTCAAGGATTAGAGTAGAAGGTTAGTAGGTAGTTGGGAGTTTCTTAGTTACTCACGATAGTCTTAGTAACACGCATGTCTCTTCATATTCTCAGATCTTAATTGCATTATGTGGTTTTGTTTGCCTCAGGTATCGTATTCTCTGTTGTTATTATTTGGTACTACTTATCCTTTATTTCCCTTTTTCTCTTCTCTCTTCCTTTCTTGTTTTCCTTCTTCTTCTTTTGTATTATTCTTCTTCTTCTCCTTCTTCTTCTTTTCGAGCCGAGGGTCTATTGGAAACAGCCTCTCTACCTTCATTAGGTAGGGGGTAAGTTCTGCATACAGACTACCCTCCCCAGACCCCACCTGTTGAGAATATACTGGGTATATTGTTGTTGTTGTTGCGGAGTGAGGTAAGTGTCGTGATTAACCTTGACTTGAGGAATTAGGACTTATTGGTCTATTTGCAATGTGTATTATGTGTGGGGACAATGTATATGTGAGGTGACGAGTATATATGTGTTATCATTGGGTAAAAGCATGCAGGTGAAGATATTTTCTTTGTGTTAGATCGTATCATTGACTACAGTTTCCATGCTTAGGTTAGATTACAACTTCTTTAATTATTCATCTCTTATTTATTATTTATTTCAAAGATGTTGGAAATTTTGGAAATTTGGGAAAGTTGAGTTTGTTATCATGGCATTATAACTGAGTGAAATTGCTTCTCGCCTATCATTGTTAATTCAGATTTGTATTGTTGCTTTGTGAGGAAGAGTGAAAAGCACAAAGGGTGTTGTCGTGCCTTATTTGCATACATTATCATCTATTGAGAGGTTGTGAGGATTAAAGCACGAAGGGTGATGTCGTGTATTTGATTGCTTAACATCATTTATCATATCACGTGAGGTTGAGAGTAAAGGCACGATGGGTGATGTCGTGCCATTTTTATTTCCTTGCCTTATTTAATTCCCGAATTGGTGATTTACTTGGTTACAATGATGCTCATTACGGAAAGATATTATTCGGTGATTTCATATTTGTCGTTCTTATGATATTCCCCTTTCGTATGCCCCCTCCCAATTAATATTTTAAATTATTCTACTTGTCATTTGTTGCTTTATGTATATATCTGTACATGATTCTATATAGGTGTCTTGTCATAGCCTCGTCACTACCTCGTCGAGGTTAGGCTCGATACTTACAGAGTATATTTGATTGGTTGTACTCATGCTACACTTCTGCACTTCTTGTGCAGATAATGGTGCTGATCCTAGCGGCATCTAGAGGTGTTTTGCTCGGACTCAGCAACATTCAGAGACTTGATGTATAGTTGCATGGCGTCCGCAGCCCTGAAGTCCCCTTCTTTATCTATTGTACTGTTTATCTAGTCTCAGACAGTTGTATTTGCTTCAGACCTTATGTGTAGTACTCTAGTTGCTCAAGTATTCGTGACTCTGGATTTTGGGATATGTTTAGATATCGTCATTATTACTCTATTGTTCCATTTCAGACTATCTCGGCTTATTTCTATTAATGTTTTATTTTGATTTGATAAAAGTGGTTAAGAAATCTAGCTAACGTTGGCTTGCCTAGAGAGTGAAATGTTAGGCACCATCTCGGTCCCACTGGTGAGATTCTGGGTCGTGACAAGTTGGTATCAAAGCACTAGGTTGCCTAGGTCTCACGAGTCATGATTAAGCTTAGTAGAGTCTAGAGAATTGGTATGGAGATGTTTGTACTTATCTTCTAGAGGCTATAGATATTACGACCCGGAAATCTCACCCTAGGGACCGTGATGGTGCCTAACATTTTACTTGCTAGGCAAGACAACGTTAGAATAATTTATCCATTTTTAACAATTCAAATTAAATGATAATAAGGAAGCTGAAATAACTGCAATAAAACTAAGGTAAAGTGCGAAAAACTATATCAACTGAAATATCTAGTACCACCCTAGGCATGGTGTCACAAGTGCACGGGCTTCTAGAATAGTACACGTAAAGATCTGAATAAAAATATAAAGCTGTCTGGAAGAAAGTACACAGCATAAAAATAACATAAGGGGATTTTAGGGGTTGCGGACGCTGAGCAGTTGTACCTCAAGTCTCCACCCAATCGCCGACCCAAGCAATCTATGAACCGCTGCTGGGACCGACTCCAAAATCTGCACAAGAAGTGCAGAATGTAGTAAGAGTACAACCGACCCCATGTACTCTGTAAGTGCCAAGCCTAACCTCAACGAAGTAGTGACGAGGCTAAGGCGGGTCACTAACACTATAACTTGTACGTAGTATAAAATAATGGCAGAAAAGAAAATGCGGGAACGAATTAAAGCAGTTAATACATGAAAATAACTCAATCTCCAAAAGAAAACCAGTAAATGCCAGAAATATCAATCCTTAGAGTCTCGTATGAAAATACTGAAGCCAACATAACACGATAAGGAAACATAAGCACATAGACTGTTGCGGCACACAACCTAATCCCACCGTACAATACAATCCTCCCTTATTCCACCGTAATAATATCGACAATAGTAAATAAATATATGTTGCGGCGCGCACCCCGATCCCACCATATAATTAGAATCAATATCATAATTTACCGTTATTTCACCGTATCATTCCACCCTTATTTCACCTGTTGCGGCTCGCAACCCGATCCCACTGTATTAATATAAAATTATCCCTATTTCACCATATCATTCAACCCTTATTTCACCTGTTGCGGCACACAACTCGATCCCACCATATCAATATAAATAAATCAATGAGTACAATCAATTTACGAATATGGAGTTGAACCAAAAAGGAAATTTTGTACCAAGTTGAGGATTCACCATAATTAATATTAAACGGTAAGACAAGTTCAATAAATGACCATTAAAGGGCGCGAGTAAGTCAATTAAGGAAGGTAGCCGTCAAACAAGGAAGTATGGGAGAATCTAATATTTTTTTAATACTAGAATAATTAATGGCAAGTAGCAAGTAAAGACATGGAAAGCATTTAACGCATGTAACAAACAAGACATGGAAGGAAATAATTAATGAAATACGGAAAAGTAAGGAAGCAAGTACTTTGGCGACGTATTTACACTCGTCACCTCGCATATACACCACTACACATGAATTTCATATAACACATAGCTCAAGGGTTCCTAATTCCCTCAAATCAAGGTTAAATCGGACACTTACCTCACTCCGCAACCAATTCAAAGTTCAACCACGGCCTTTCCTTTCGAACAAGCCTCCAAACCAACCAAATCTAATAAATTATTGACCAAACGATTCAAAATAAGCTTTAGAAACTACTCATGAATGAAAGGGATTCAATTTAGTTCTTTATTGAAAACGTCAACAAAAGTCAACCCCCGGGCTTGCTTGGTCAAAATACGAAATTCGGACCAAAACCTGATTACTCATTCACCCCCGAGCCCGGATATGCGACTTGTTTAGAAATTCAACCCCAATTCAAGGTCTAAATTCAAATTTTATAAAAAATTCCTAATTCTACCTAAATCCCCAGTTTCTACCATGAAAACCTTAGTTTTAAGGTTGAAATCTTATGAAATATAGTGAGAAATTGAAAGAAAGTAGATTACGGTCACTTACCAAAAACAATTAGGGAGAAGAGCTCTTCAGAAAATTGCCTCTAATATTTTTAGGGTTGAAAATTTGAAAGAATGAACCAAAATCCCGTCTAACTCAACCTTTGATCAGGCGTAAATGTCGCAATTGCGACCTGGGGTTCGCAATTGTGAACGCCGCAAATGCGAGACATACTTCGAAATTACGAAGAAGCTCCATCTATGCTATCATCGCATTTGCGATGATTTGTTTGCAAATGCCTTCGCAAATGCGACCTATAGATGGCAAATGTGATCCCTTGCTACCCAGCCATTCTTCGCAAATGCGAGGAAGTGGTTTGCAAATGTGAACCTACCTCGAATTTTGACAGTTCGCAAATGCAAACATTGACCTCGCAAATGAGAGATCAGATCAGAACCAGATTCTCACCAGCTATTTTCTTAAGTCAATACCACTCTGAAGTCTATCCGAAACTCACCCGAGCCCTCGGGGCTCCAAACTAAACATGCACACAAGTCCAAATATATCATACGAACTCGCTCGCGCAATCAAACTCAAAAATAACACATAGAACTACGTATCGGACACCAAAAAGAATTAAATTTCCAATAAAAGTAAAGAACTTCTATTTTAACAACCGGACGTCCGAATCACGTCAAATCAACTCCATTTTATTCCAAATTTTGCAGACAAGTCATAAATATATTAATGAACCTATACCAAGCTCCAAAAT